CCACGGGACTGGATCGCACGTGAAGCGCCAGGACAGACGAGAACCACACCCGTACATCCCGCCTGCGCCACGCTGAGACCCCCAGCGGTGCACAGCGACACGGGGAGGGAGCCCGCAGCGGCCCGTCCCGGGGCTCAGCTCCTTCCCAGCCTTTCTGCCGTGCCGCTGACCTCCGGCCAGGCATGGACGCCTCACGGGAGCTCAACAAGTCCAACCTTGGGCACTGCTCTGAGGCGCTTGGCAGGAAATTCCTTCAGCTCCTTCTGATGCTCAAGAGACGCTCGAGTGCCGGGCTCAGCACCTCTGCACGGCAGCTCTCTGGCTCTTAAGGCTCACCCGGGTCACCGAACGCTGGAGCCGGCACCTCCGTGGCTCCTGGGAGGCCCCCGGCCCTGTGAGCCGGCACAGACCCGCTGTGACCTCTGCCATGGCCGGCAGGGAAGGGGGCTCCCAGCCCCCCCAAGCCTGAAAGCAAATTACAGGAGGTGGGCTCCTGGGCTGTGGAGTGGCCTAGGGAAACAGCCCCAGGCTCTTCTCAGACCCCTGCAGAAGGCAGCAGGAGGCTAAACTGCTTTCACCTGGGAACTCGCACTCAGCTGCCTTCACGGCTTCCCCAAGTCCGCAGTTCCTCCTGGATTCCCTCACCACTTCTCATGAAGGACCGAGGCGGCAGCAGCCACGAATGCACGAGCTCCACCCTCTGCCAGACAGAAAAAACGCTCAGGAACATCACCCTGTTTGCTTCCAGGCAGACAGCGGTAAACAGGGATGCAGATCACGGCACCCGTGAAAACGGAGTTAGCCGGAGTCTCTGCGGGTGAGCTAATTCGGGCGTCCTGCAGGTCACCGCGCAGCCGGGGCCAGGCAGCAGTGCCAACTCCTTCCAGCAGTCCCCACCCTTCCTTCTTCCCCGCGGCGCAAGGCAAAGCTTGTGCAGCCACACAGTGAACTGGGTTGGGATTTGATCCAGTTAACAACCATTTCTGCAGGGCTGTTCCCGGCTGGCTCAGTTCGCCACTCGAGCTCACAGCACAGCAGCAGCTTTTGCAGCAGCACAGGCAGCCGGAACCGCTTTGGCCAGCTCCAGCTGCGCTCCGGCTCCGCGTATGGTGGCAACTGGAGGCTGGATCAGAAACAAACCAGGGCTGGGTGGCTCCCAGGGCACAGGAGGGAGCGGGGCCACATCCCTGGAAA